TCCCCAGCCTTATTTTATTTTGGACGCAGGGTCTCATTGAGTTTCTCAGCGCCTTATGGTTTGCTGAGGCTAGTTTTGTGCCCGGCCAAGCTTCTTGATTTGCAGTCATTTGAAAACTTTTCTTCCTGTTTGTATCTTGGAAGATGGGTAAAGGAGGGAGTGGGGAGGTGGAGAAGCATGTACTTGAAATAAAAGCTCAACCAGGTCATTTTACTAGGAAGTTAAGATGGAGCTGAGGTTGTGGCTTAATGGTAGATCCCCAGGGCCCCGGGTTTGATCTTCCAACATGAGAAAAGAAGAAGAAAAAAAAAAGTAATAACTTTTTAGAAAGTTCCTTAACTTCCGAATAAACTTTAGCAGATCATTCAGAATTCAAGTAGTGGAAAAATAAGACTCTCCCTAAAAATGTTTAGATAGTACTGTATCCTCTTGCTTCCTTAATGGCAGACTTGGTTTATTTACTCATGCATTGCAGTGCTGGGGGTGGAACCTGGAGCCAGGTGCTCAGCCACTGAGCCCTCCTTCAGCCCCTAAATTCAGGCTTTAAATAAGCAGATGGAAAAGCATTTCCCATGTCCACCCTGAAAAGCAGGGTGGTACCAGTAAAGAGGGGACAAAAAAGACCTGTGAACAATGTGCCCCATCCACAATGTCCCGTTGGGGACCTGAGGTCCATGAGTCAGGTCCAAAGCCAGCAAATTCTATCCTGATGAGTAACTATGGTAAATCAATGCTCTGTGGGGTTGTCCTGACATCCACTAATATCACTTGTTAAAATTAGCACAGGTGTTGTTTTGTTTTGTTTTGTTTTGGTACCAGGGATTGAACCGGGGTGCTTAACCACTCAACCACATCCCCAGCCCTGTTTTATATTGTATTTAGGGACAAGGTCTCACTGAGTTGCTTAAGGTCTTGCTAAATTGCTGAGGCTGGCTTTGAACTGGTGATCCTTCTGCCTCAGCTTCCGAAGCCGCTGGGATTACCGGAGTGCACCACCGTGCCCGACTAGCATAGTATTTAAGTGAGGCCCAAGGAACCCCAACATGATTTCTCCCTCAAGGTCCTCGAGGTCCACACACTTCGTTTAGGAAGGTTCTCTGGTTAGCCGTGCACAATCCTAACGGCCACCCATGTTTCCCCAGGAGCGCTGCAAGAGCACCGCAGACCAGAATCAACCTTGACACTGTCAGCGAAGATTGTCTGTGCTCTGCACTGAGCCACGGGATGACTCAGGAGTGTGATGAGTGCTGTTTCCCCATGGGCTTGAAGCTTGCTATCCTTGGCATCCTCCTCATTGTTGTATTTGTCTACTTAACTGTGGAAAGAGAACCACTCTTTAGATAAGTCCTTTAGGAGCAAAGCAACATGATAGTGCTTGAATAATGCCCTCAGCAAGCCCTTCAAAGGGGCCACCATACCCCTGGCCAGGCAGCCTTCCCTGGCTGATCTGTGCCTGGGTTTAGCCAGGTGAAAGGAAAGGGGGAGAACCAGGCAGCTGTGAGTTAAGATCACGATGTTTAGGAAAACCTCAATCATGTAAAGCCATCATTAAAGGTGCTTCCACACAAGAGCAAGCAGGTTTCTCCTCTCTCTCGATGCAGTGTGGGGATTGAACCCAAGGGTGCTTTACCACTGAGCTCTGTAGCTCCAAACCCTTTTTCCTTTTAATTTTTGAGACAGGGTCTCACTGAGTTACTGAAGCTGGCTTCGAATTGGTGATCCTCCTGCCTCCTGAGTCACTGGGATTACAGGCATGAGCCACCACCCCTGGTGATAAGAGCAGACTTTTGAAAAGGGAACTCTGATTGATGTTTTTTTCTTTTTATTTCCCAAACCAAAGGTTCCCAATTTTTTTTTTACTATTTATTTTTAAGTTTTAGGTGGACACAATATCTTTATTTTACATGTATGTGGTGCTGAGGATCGAACCCAGTGCCTCGTGCATGCTAGGCGAGCGCTCTACCACTGAGCCACAACCCCAGCCCCCCTGGTTTCCATGTTTTTAAGAGTGAGTCAACCTACTAGTGCATCCCAATAAAACGTATCCAGTTGTCCAGAAAGGGGTGCCGTTCGCAGCGTGATGCAGCCTGAGGTGGTCGTGAGTTGGATTCAGTATGAACATGTGTGCCATCTCAGGGGTAATGCCAGCTGGGTTCTTCTTCAGTGAGTTTGTACCTGATCTATTTATCAGTTTTCATCCAAATTTATTGGGGAATAGGATGGTTTTCTTTGGTTTCTAGGCCAGGAATCCCTTGATCCTGAAAGTCTTGTGAGAAGACCCAGCAAGGCACACAGAGCCAAGCACCAACCACGATGGCAGAGAAAAGGGGAGATCACATTTACCAGGGTGGTGAGCCATAGGTCACATGTGATTCAGTCTTCAAACTGTAGAGGGTGGGAAAGCCTACAACAGCCAGTTAACAACAGAGGCCTGGGGATGTGGCTCCAGTGGTAGAGGGCTTGCCTCGCATTCGCCAGCACCAAGTAAACAAAAATAAATACATCAAAGAAGAATGTGTCTGATTTAGCAAATGCAAAGAAATGTCCAACGTCATGGCAACAATCTAGAACAAGAGAGCACTTTTATCTTTGAAACTTAGGATCTAAAAATTAGGACTTGGGAGCTGTAATGACCATGACCTCCAGGCCCAGGCAGAGTGGCATAGGCACCTGGCTTCTGTCTTTATTGGCTGTGTGACCTAGGGTGAATGAGTTGTCCTCTCT